TAATCGGGTCTGGATCAGACGATCTAGTGAACAATAGCACGAGCATCCATCTACGCAACACTCGCGGTATGGCAATAATTCAAAATGTCACTATGATTTATTTACCAGTAAATACAAACTTCTTGATACAACCAATGCTCTCCTTGTCCTCCTAAACTTTCGGCGTCACTGTTATGGAGAATGACTAAAACGTTCAATGCAAATAGACAATCCATCAGCTGTTTTCAACTTTACCGTGTTTTTTACTCGCTACTTCTGACCTCCTGGACTAATGGTAAGCTCTGGAACAATTTAGTATTTAACGATGGAACTGTGCATCACAGTTTCCTGTTTGAAAGACTTAGATTTCCTTTAGATGAACCTTTTTTCTGGGTCTTGTGGTTTTAAGAAGATTCTACTTGTACCTCTACACAAGATAAGTTTACACTTGACATTTGTACCGATTTTATGACAGAAAGAATGACAGAATGTTTATGCCTTCAAGAGACTGAAAAACGTTTATTAAGATAAATATTGCAGACATGCAGAAGCCACTGAGGTAACATGGGGTTTGCAGAATGGCAACAACATAAAGCCCTTAAACAAGAAGGCCTGAAATGAAAGAACAATATCTACTGTGAGCACCAACCTTTGGCCAGTGTTGAATATCACTGAAGAGAAATTCCTTTCTGTCAACAACGTTAGCAGTATCACTACTGTTACTGTATAGTAGGCAGGTGCGCGCTTTTTTGTCAAATCCAAAGGACAGACATGCTGAGGACATCAGACATTCTGATGCACAGGTGTAGAGAGACTGATTCCCGCACTTTCTGAACACCTGGTGCTCCATGTACTTGTCACGCTGAACTAGAGAATACATGTCCAAACAGTTGTCACCGTGGACTGACTGTATGATTCCAAAAATTAGGAAAATGTTTTTGCTATGGTTAGACGACATTTGCATCACCTTGATCTCCAACTGTCAAGTTGTGACTAACGCTCCTTGCTCGTATTGGGTTATGTTAACATTGCAATTTGAACTGCATGGTAACCATAGTCATTTTAAAGTTTTGATTTAAAAGCTAGGAAACATCAATAGAAAAAGGGACATGTATGGTGTGTCTTCCTACAAGACAATCACATATTTTACGAGGTATGAAGATTTGAGTAAGTGGTTCCATTCAGCTCACATTCAAGCATGCTCATAAGTGTGTGGTCTTTAGAATGCACAGCTTCCCTCACATGCAATAAACAGAGATGTTTACGTTGTCGAGAAATGACAAAGATAAATATCAGGAGTATGTTGTTTCACTTCTTCTTCACAGTGTTTTATTTGTAGTACACCTCTTTGAGTGGCATTTTTGAAGTTGGGAAGTACAGTATTGAACAAACTTTATGGATAATACCTTCTCCTATTTCTTGCTATGCGACGACAGCCTGTAAACAAACTAGACAATGAAGTAATCAATCGCTTTGATAAGTGTGAATCATGACTGCTGTGCAAAAGTGCAGAGCTTCTGATACTTATATGTAAGGAAAACTGTTTGGGAAAATCTTTGTTTTACAACTCCACAGGCGTCTCAGATTCTTGTGAATGTTATTTCTTTTGTCAAGAACGTATAGGTGTCCAGTTAGGATGAAATCCAGAATGCTGTCACAACAGAGAACAGGGGCGTAGGGCGTGTTTCAGTTAGGTGCAGTCAGCAGATACAGATCATTTGGACACATCTGTTTTAGGTTGTAAAAAGTATACGTAAACATTTAAAAGGCAAAAACTGCCATGATGGAATGTTTAAAATCTAGTTTAGAACGGACATGATGATTCTTGGAATACACATATTTCACCCAGGTATTGCAAACTGTGATGATTTACGTAAGTGACCTGCAGAGGCTGTGTCAATCGGCATACATGTACGTCAATAGCCACTGACCAGTCACGATGAGGGCCAAGGAAACCTTAAGGGACGTTCCCTGATAGCAAATTCGTAACCATGTACTTACCACGCTGAACTGCAGAATCCACGTCAAAACACGTAAGTGACCTGCGGAGGCTGTATCAATTCAATCATTACATTCTAAAAAAAACGACACCCACGGTCATACAGGAGAAAAGTTTTCCCCCCAAAAAATAATTTGTACTTTACAGGATTGCGGATATATTGTACAGATAATTGGCAACATTAAGATATTGTGACTGAAAACAATTATGAATATATAAATCTAGACAGATAAATATAAAATCCGCATCAGAAATTCTGTACTCATGTACATGTATACAATCACACTCGAAGGTACTTTTCTATTATACAGTTCTCGTCACGATATGGCTGAAATATTGCCGATGTGACGTTAAATAATAACTCACTCACTCTATTATACAGATGAATTGTGCAAGGTTTTTGATTTCTTTTACATTTCTACTACTCAACAATTTTTTGAACTTTATTATATTAGGGAACTGTATGCATTTATTTGGGATAAATTTGAATCTGCATTCATAAAAAGCTTCACATTTAAACAGGTAGTGGAATACATCAGCTACAGCTGGCGACATACACAGTTTGCATGTCCTAAATTCTCTCTCTATGCCAAGCCAACGGCCAACCTCGACGGGCAGATTATGGTTACAAGTTCTGTATTTCAAGAGAGGGTTGTATATTTGTTTAGGCAGAAGGAGATAGTTATCAAATGAAGGAATATCTTTTAAGTATTTATAATAAAGCCCCTTCGGGTTTCTCTCTAGTCAGATCTCCAGTTTTGATAGAACTGATCTTTTAGAGTCTGTTCTACTCGAGCCGTAAGCCATTGGCTTGAAACACTTAGTGGGTCATGAAATATACTACCCATCAAAAGTTTAGACTCGCTTAAATCAATCACTATAAGTTATGTATGTACATATGGTTACAACGAAGATGAATTTCTTCACTAACTTGGGGGAAACATCTGTAAACCTTATGCAGATTAATTGCACGAGGATCCTGAATCAAATTGCTGAAAAGCTTGTGCAAATATCGTACATGTGAACAGCTGCGTTTTAATGTAAGGTTTTGATAAAAATCATCATTTTCATCATTTATTGAACACATGACAATTCAATTTTCAAGGTCACGAATTTGTTTTACCATACATCAACTCATGTATAAACAGTACCTTTAAACTGTATGGAATATTTTACAAAATCTAGTTCAGAACAGTTGACTGAAGTAAGTGGCTACATTTACACTAGTGAGTCTGAACTTTTGATGGGGAGTACACACAGGATAGGTCACAGAGGTTAAGTATTTGCCTTACATTACTCGTCCAGACATTTTGTTCATTAATAGCTTCAGATCGCAAATAGGCAAACTGATAGATAATTTGTGATAATTTCGAGAAAGGTCCAGGTTTACGGAGTTTATGCCAGAAACTAACAACCCGTTTGGCTGCATAAATCGATAAGGGTACCCTACCTAATTCCCCATAGCCCATACACTTTTGAGGTTGAATGTCTAAGCCCACAGGCTAGTTTCAGGAATTTTAAATGAATGTTTTCAATTATATTCATATTTTGGTAGGCCCAGATTTCGCAACCATATAATAATATCGGTGATATCATCACGTCAAAGGCCTTCAGTAAACAGTCCAGAGGAACATTATAATAATTTCTTTAATAGACAGAACATGGCTTTAGATGCACTCTCTGATAAACATTTGATTGCTGACCTGAAGTTCCTGTTTCAACTGAATATAACACCTAGCCTAAGTATGTGCAATTATCTACGATCTCAATTTCGGTATTTTCCAAATAAAAAGATAACCTACATTTTTTGGACGGCCGGCTTCCAAATATAAGAACTTTAGTTTTTTCAGGTTAACATCCAATTTCCAGATATTGCAATAGTCTTTAATGGAATCTAATGTTTTCTGGAGTTCAGTTGCAGAATCAGCAAGTAGGACCGTGTCGTCCGCGTAGAGAAGGATTAAGAAACAGATACATAACTGCACATGTAAATTGTTCGAATCGCCAATTCTAACAACCGTGCATCCGTCTTTCAGTAGGAATGTTTCAAGATCATTGATGAAGAGACAAAAGAACAGAGATGATACATTTTCTCCTTGCCGCACGCCTGAATAACATGGAAAATACCGTGATACGGCACCATTTATAGACACCTATGACCTTATATTTGCATACATATTTTGGACTAACTGGAAGAATTTACCCTTAACACCACATTTTAGTACTTTATGCCATAAGCCGACTCTCCACATATTGTCGAAGGCTTTTGAGATATCAATAAAAGTGCCATATAATTTTCTCTTACTTTGTTTAAGAATCTGAATAAGCATATCCAAGACAAAGATGTTATCAGTTGTAGAGTAACTCTTCTTAAATCCGGCTTGCGCTGAATTGAAAATATTATTGATCTCCAGGAAATAATTTAACCTTTTATTGAGAAATTGTGGTGGAAAGTTTTCCAAAGCAGCTAGGTAATGTCAGGTTTGTAAGCGTTAGGATCGGATCTGGTACCTTTGCCTTTGTAGATGGGGCGTATAGAACCAGAGAGCCATGCATCAGGTAATATTCCTGAAGATTATATTAAATTGAAATAATCCACAAATATATTTCCAAAGACATCAAACGAATCAATAAGTTAGTCGTTCTCAATTCGGTCGGACCCTGAAGCTTTGTTACGTTTAAGACTCCTAATGGGCTTAGCTATTTCATCCAAGGTTATTTCTCTGTTCAAAACATTGTCGTCATAATCAGTTTCTTCGTCAGTTTCTTCGTTTACTTCCAGATCATCCACATGGTGTTGACAGTTTATATTCTTAAAATTTTCAGAGAAATCTGCGATATTGGGTGTTTCCGAATTTTATTTTACATTACTTTTATTGAGAATCTTCCAGAATTCCTTAGGTGAATGTTTAGCTCTTTCTCTTATCATTTTGCTAAATTCAGTTTTGTACTTATTAATATGTTTATTAAGGCACCTCTTATATTCCTTTGAACTTTGTTGATAATTACGTTTTATCAGTTGTCACTGACCAGTCATGATGTGGGCCAAGGCCATCTTAAAGGACTTAACCTGATAACAAATTTGTAACTACCCAGCTTTACACAGAAGCTATGATGCGAGTTAGTTTTGGAACAGTAAATATTAGTATTAGTTATAAGCATTGTATTTAGAGAGCCTTGGCTCAGATCCGGAAAAGGTCGCGAGTAAGCTGTGTGAAAGGTAAAGCTCACAGGAAATTTCATTCGAGAAAGTATGTTTACAATTTTCATTTGAATGCCTTCCTTGGATATTTCTTTCAGTCAGGCCTTACTGATGTAGTGGTGAGGTGAGGTGAAATTGGGTTTTACGTCGTGCTTGAGAATATTTCGCTCATATGATGACGTGCATGCATGTGTATGTGTATGTGCGGCTGCTTGTACTAGCCCAGACTTAAGCTGGTTTTATAGTTCTAGCCCACTGAGATACCATGCCGCAGTGAAGCATGAATACCCCACTCAGACACAGTATACTGACTCCGAGCCGACCAGTCCTTGTTGTACCCATTAATGCCGAGCGCCAGGCAGGGACCAACAAGAACCATATTTTAACGTCTTTTTGGTATGACGCGGTCGGGGATCGAACCCGCGACCTTCTGCTCTCCGGGCGGACGCCCTAACCACTACACCACGGAGGCGGTCACTGATGTAGTGGTTATAATAATACTATTGTTATTGAAATACACATCGCCATTTTAGCGCACAAAGTCAGACGCCTAGACCGCTCAGACTTGTGGAAGCCGTGGTGGCTGAGCAGTCTAGGCGTCTGACTTTGTGTCTTGGCGATTAGGTGCCTGGCTCTGAGGGTGTGGGTTCGAATCCCGGATGGGACTCAACCCAAAAAGTACTAGAATCTGTACTTTACTAAGAAAGTGTAATCCCAAATATAACATACGTTACATTATTATTGTTGTTTGCACATATTTATTTATCGGATGATCCTCGAGTGATGCATGTCAAAACGCATCATGAAAGCAAGACATTCCGCGGCTATTTCAAGGTTGTTGAACAGAATCTGAAATTTGAAGTTGATTTTGCTGATGGCGATGTACTGCTGGACGGTACAGCGATCGGAGTAAACCAGGTGAAGTCATTAACCAAGTCTGCCCAGAGTCGGTCATTTGTGGAGAAACATCGGAGGAGGTTCATCCATGGTACGACCCAGGGCGTCATGGAAAATGCTGCTTTTAAACTTCTTAGGAATAGGCCCATATACAGCCTCAGTAGAATTCCAGCCTGGTCTTGTCCTTTTTGATAAAGCTAATGAATTTATTTATATCATTGAAGTTTCTGTCCCCTTTGACAGCAACGTGATTGGAAAGATTCAGGAAAAGCATGCCAAATGTGCGGACTTCGCCATTTAAGTATATCGCTTGTATCCCAAGTACAATGTCGTCAGGCTCCTCATTGTTCTCGTTGCCCTTCGTTTGGTACCTCCTGGTCTCTTGGCACAGATCAGGAGAGTGCCCGGGTTCTCCACCGGGAGCACAGCCCTTCTGACACCCTGGGTGATGCAGAAGGCTGCAGTGTTGGGGAGTCTACATATTCTCCGGAAAGTTCTTAGTGGGTTCGACTAGGGAGCGTTTCCTGGGAGAAGTCCCATTCGCTGTCTTGGCTGCGTGTAGAGGGGGCAAGGGCCCTGAGCTGATGATGAGCCTTACCAACCTGACTTTGCCAGGATCACCCGAAACCTCTCTGCTGCAGTTTTTCATCTTAATCTGTAAAACATAATAATGCATGCATTTATGACGGAATTCACAAGTATGATGTGCTCTGTCATTTGAGAGCTTACGTATGAAAATATCATATCAGTAGTACATGTAGGTCACAGTGACCCACTTTAAGGAAGTAGTATACACTATAAGCAAAATTCCACCAAGTGAAATCATATTTGGTTTCCATGGTGGAAAGCCTTTGAATTCCTCTTATAATACTGATTCCGATGCTCTAATCACGCTCCATTTATAAGGTAAATATAACTGAAGGGTACAAAGACATGCTATAGAATTTGATACATATTATCCCAGTGATGGAATACGGAACTGGAACACTTTTGATTGTGACCGTGACCTTTTAAGGTCAAGGTCACAAGACTGTTAATCTATTAAGTACGGAAGGGACATGGCACATGCCACGTTTAATAATTTTGGACAGGCCAGGTTTGGTCACGCGGGGCATTCAACGTTTGGTGACTCACGTTTGGTACAGGTCTGTTTGGTGACGTAGGACAGACCAGGTAAGGTGACGTGGAACAGGTCAGGTTTGGTGACGTAGGACAGACCAGGTGAGGTGACGTGGAACAGGTCAGGTTTGGTGACGTGGAACAGTCGGGTTTGGTGAAGTGGAGCAGAACACGTTTGGTGAGTGAGTGAGTGAGTTCAAATTTATAGTCACATCGGCAATACTTCAGCCATATTGTGACTTAAAAAGTTATAAATTAACAATAAACACAATTACATTATAAAACACCTGTCGACGAAGGACAGTAAAACAACTATATCATCACAGGGAAAAATTTAAGACTAGTAATTAAATCTAAAATATTTTACCTATAAATGACAATACAATATAAAAACCGGCTACAGATTGCCAACAACTGAAGGTAGATCACCATACTAGGGACCATGGGGACTTACAGTACATTTGCTTCCTGCATGGACCCTAGCTGGATTTACACCATCCCTTCAGCCGTTAGCAATTTAGCAAATCTAGCCATACATTAAAAGAACAGGTATTCTACGATTAAAAAAGTGGAACGTTGTAATTTACTTCGAATGTTTTGGGACTTACATACCCTCTCAGGAGGACAATAATTTTACAGTACTTTAACCCCCCTCGAGGATACAGCCACTAACAATCTTAGTTACTAATTCAAACTTCCAATCTTAAAATATTTATGTATTTACAAATCATTTAACAAATTTAATTCTTTTAAAAATGCAATAATTAAATGAGAACTGATACTATTAAAAAGATCCTTCATAGTTCGTGATTTAAAATAGATATCCCTTGTGATGGAATATTCAACACAGTCAAGCAGGACATGCTTGACCAGAACACGTTTGGTGACGTGGGACCAGTCAGGTGTGGTGACGTGGAATAGCCGGGTTTGGTGACGTGGGACAAAACAGCTTTGGTGACGTGGAACAGTCGGGTTTGGTGACGTGGGACAAGTCAGGTTTGGTGACGTGGGACAGATCAGGTTTGGTAACGTGGAACAGGTCAGGTTTTGTGACGTGGGACAGGTCAGGTTTGGTGACGTAGGGCACGTCAGGTTTGGTGACATGAGACAGGTCAGATAGGGTGACGTGGAACAGTCAGGTTTGGTGAAGTGGACAGGCCAAGTTTGGTGAAGTGGAACAGATTTGGTGACATGGGACAGGTCAGGTTTGATGACGGGGGACAGTTCAGGTTTGGTGACGTCGGACAGGTCAGATTTGGTGACGTGGGACAGGTCAGATTTGGTGACATGAGACAGGTCAGGTTTGTTGACGTGGGACAGGTCAGGTTTGGTGACGTGGGACAGATGAGGTTTGGTGACGTGGGACAGGTCAGGTTTGGTGACGTGGGACAGGTCAGGTTTGTCGAAGTGGGCAGGCCAAGTTTGGTGAAGTGGAACAGATTTGGTGACGTGGGACAGGTCAAGTTTGGTGACGTGGGACAGGTCAAGTTTGGTGACGTGGGACAGGTCAGGTTTGGTGACGTGGGACAGGTCAGATTTGGTGACGTGGGACAATTTAGATTTGGTGACATGAGACAGGTCAGGTTTGTTGACGTGGGACAGATCAGGTTTGGTGACATGATACAGGTCAGATTTGGTGACGTGGGACAGGTCAGGTTTGGTGACGTAGGACAGATCAGGTTTGCTACTGTGGGACAGGTCAGGTTTTGTGACGTAGGGCAAGTCAGGTTTGGTGACGTGGGACAGAAGTGCTTTGGTAACGTGGGACAGGTAAGGTTTGGTGACGTGGGACAGGTCAGGTTTGGTAACGTGGGTCAGGTCAGGTTTGCTAGTGTGGGACAGGTTAGGTTTGGTGACGTGGGACAAGTCAGGTTTGGTGACGTGGGACAGAAGTGCTTTGGTAACGTGGGACAGGTAAGGTTTGGTGACGTTGGACAGGTCAGGTTTGGTGACGTGGGACAGGTCAGGTATGGTGTCGTGGGTCAGGTCAGGTTTGCTACTGTGGGACAGGTCAGGTTTGGTGACGTGAGATGGGTCAGGTTTTGTGACGTGGGACAAGTCAGGTTTGGTGACGTACGACAGGTCACGTATGGTGATGTACGACAGGTCAGGTATGGTGACGTGGGAGAGGTCAGGTTTGGTGACGCACGACAGGTCAGGTATGGTGACGTGGGACAAGTCAGGTATGGTGGCGTGGGTCAGGTCAGGTTATGTTTGGTGACGTGGGACAGATCAGGTTTGGTAACGTGGAACAGGTCAGATTTGGTGACGTGGGACAGGTCAGGTTTGGTGACGTAGGGCACGTCAGGTTTGGTGACATGAGACAAGTCGGATAGGGTGACGTGGAACAGTCAGGTTTGGTGAAGTGGACAGGCCAAATTTGGTGAAGTGGAACAGATTTGGTGACGTGGGACAGGTCAGGTTTGTTGACGTGGAACAGAACATTTTTAGTGACGTGGAACAAGTCAGGTTTGGTGACGTGGGACGGGACAGGTTTGGTCACGTTAGAAATGTGAGTTTTGGTGTCTCGGGACGTTTCAAATTTGCTGATGAGGGACATGTCAGGCGTGGTGACTTGGGCAGGTCAGCTTAGGTGGCGTAGGGAATCCAAGTTTGGTGGCGTAGGAAAGATCAGGTTTAGAGACTCGGGACGGTCAGGTTTGACGACTTGAGACGTTTCAGATTTGGAAACGTGGGGCGTGTCAGATTTGGTGACATGGGTGAGATGGGGTTTGGTGACTTGAGACATTTCCAAGTTTGGTGACTCGGGACAGGACAGGTTTGGTGACGTGGTACAGGTCAGGATTGGAGACACGATACAGGTCCATAACTACTACGTTATATGTACACTCTCATTGAAATATTAGCATTATATCGCAATGAGTTTGACTCTTACATCATTCAGATTATAATACTCATTTGGCTAAACAATTATGAATTTGAGTCTTGAAAACGTTTTACCAGTTAATTGAGTGTGTGTTCGTTGCCTTCACTCATGTTTAATAAAGATTCCTGCTTTGCCTGACATCCTTTCTTTTGGGGTGGAGATCCCAGAACTAAGTTCCCGAAATTAATTCCAGGTCATAAGCACTTACGGTTAAGACTGTTTCAGTTCCAGCAAAACATTTGGCGCTTTGTGTCTCAGATACACAGACATCATTTCAATCAGTAGTTTAAAGAGTGTCTATTTAAATACCACATAAATCATGTGAAAATGTTTCCTCACACATAGCACTTTTTCAGATTTTGTCTGTGTTTTGAAGGGCCGCAGGGTAGCCTAGTGGTTAAGGCGTTCGCTCGACACGCCGAAGACTTGGGGTCGATTCCCCACATGGGCACAATATGTGATGCTAAAAGCGGCGTAAAACTAACTTCATTCTCTGTATGTTTTGAAGGGCTGATTGACAGAAGTTCAACTTAGAATTGTAAACAAGTTCCCGAGTAATCAATGCTTTTCATAATTCACATAAGAGTCTTTATGGGTTGGGAGGAAATTCAAGTTGTGTCATCGTATATCGTGGGCGTAAACCGTCAACAAAGAGGGCCTTTGAAGCAGAAATCGGTATGTTCAGCTTCCTACCAGAAGTGAACGCCATCGATTCTGTTTGTCAGAAGATAGTTTTTGCCAACATGAGTTTCTTCCTTAATGTCTTTAGCTTCGTAACAAGTATATACACTATTGATTCCATTAGTCACGAGTTGAAATCTGAAACACGATGTTTGTTTGTGAAATCAGTCCTTTCTGTTGACCATTTACCTTGTTATTTGTGACTGATGGAATGACACTGTGTTCAGGTTACATCACTGTAAATATACTAGTATTACTGTTACTCTTCTCTACTAAACTAAACACTAGCAGAAAATTACCAAAGCGGACATATCACTACCACTGTGGTTCATTCTATACTATAAAATTGCCTGAAGCTACCATCTTTGCCAAACGAGGTAATGCCGTTGAATGTTAATTTGTTTTTTCCGTGATTACGGAAAAGGGTTTTGTAGCATTTATTTTGGGATTGCTGTTGTGGGGTTCGGGAGTGAGGTGGAGGAAAAGGTCTTATGTACTCCTGTGTAAGAGGAAGAACGGCGATAGGAACATCCCGTTCAAACTTCATCCTGTATAACCGATGTGGCTTACGGATGTATGTTTGAGATATCTGGTTTGGACTTTTGTGTACATTTCAAGGAATCAATTCGGAACAGGAGGTTGATCGGGAAGACAAGTCCATGCCCTCCTGTTTGTATAGTATTACAGAACAAACATGGGACAATCATTATTATTATTAAAAGGGAATGCACGGATATTTGCAATTCATGGACAGTAATTACAAGGATGCAAATTTTGATATGTGAGTGAGTGAGTTTAGTTTTTTAGCGATTTTAAGCAATATTCAAGAAATATCACGGAGGGGAACACCAGAAATAGGCTTGACACATTTTACACATGTGGGGAATCGAACCCGGAATTCAGGTCACAGTTCAGTTGAAGTTAAGCAACGTTGGACACGGAAAGTTTTTGGATGGGTGCCCCTGTTTGGCAGCTTGACTCCTGAGAGTTTCTAGGACTTCAATCCTGTCACACAACAAAGCACATGTGATACATGTGGTCTCATCTTAGGTAAGTGAGTTGTTCAAAATTGCCTCTGTTCACCCAGCAGAACATTTGTACCGGTGGGATAAGTCATGTGACTATTAACCTTCTAGTGCCTCACAAGGAGCTTGGGTTATCCGGGGTAATAATATGCTGTGTTTTGAGTATTCACCTAGTGAATTGAGTAGCACATTATAAATACACTTTTATCACTTATTATGATCTTTCGTCACAGCTAACGTCGCATTTTATTTACCAAGCACTCAGAGTATTGTTTCCACAGAATAGATATCATGGTTGAGTATTATTTAACACTTCAAATAGTCCATGTCTCAGCATGATAAGGGGAAAAAGACCGATGGGATTCGAACCCACAATCATGGTTTCCTGGCACACCAAGGGGATGCAACTCTGACCTGTACAGAATACCGTCGTGCCTTCTCATTAATTTTAAAAGTCCATCACCTATTGAACCTTCATGATATACAGAATATACAGGAAGAACCTACCTTAGCGTAGGCCATATCGTTGTTCCCAGCAATTTCTGAGAAGAGAGATGCGAGTCTGAAGTTCGTAACTGAAAGAGACGCAGTCTACATTCAAGACACAGGCTGCTGCACAACTGCGTGAAGAAGGCTTCAAGGACTTCATACCTCGATAGTTTTCCGTACCAACATGCACCAGCCTTGCATCTTCAAGTGCATCACCACCGTCAGCGAGCTGCATGTGCATCCATATAAATACACCTACTTTGCGACTGACACCGAAGCTTTTCATTTTTACGAACACGAACGTTTCTATAGCTTTAAACAAAGTCTTGCATTGTTGCTTGTTCGCTAATCGAATGAAGTTCGTGGTTACAAGGCCGTAATGAAAGGTCTGTATCCAGTTTTTATGTCCAGTCATGAAGTCATTGGAGTAATCTTGATATGAATATGAACGAGTGGAATTAGATTACTAAAATTTAAGATATTTCACATTTCAAGATCTGAAATTTTAGCAATCTTTCAGAGGAAACATAACTATTCATCGATATCATATTTCGTGTTCATTGACCTCTTTATTGTCAGTCGAAAAGGGCATTTGGATTTTGTGCATTGCTCAATATATATATATGCAACAAGCCGCCCAGTTATGGCCGATACAAATGATCAGAATCAAGGCCGTTATTTGTGGTTCCAGACAAAATTATATTCATTGAGCCTGGATCATTTAATAGTAAAAGTTCAATTTGATTTATTGTTGATAATCTGATGACCGAATCTTTTATATGTTGGAGTTTGTCAGATTTCTCTCCCTATCTGTTCGTTATGGCGTCACAGACCAGGAGTGGGTGAGGTTTTCGCGCCGCTCTTAGCAATATTCCAGCATCATCACAGCAGGACATTCGCAATGCTTCACACATTATTACAATGTAAGAAATCGATTGGCGATCTAACCACTCGACCACCCTACCGGATACCGCTCCCGACTATTGTCCTGTGACGTTATAACGAACACACATGCATCATATATCGTTTATGGCACCATTCGGTTCCACTTGGCTCATTCCTTAAAGGCGCAATTTCACACATTTTCGACAATATTTTGGCCTATAATATATATATTGGTGTATATGCACTCACTTGCTACCCCAGGCGAATGCCGGTTTCAAAGTGCTTTTGCAATTGGTTTCCCAACAGAAGTTAAACGCGGATACCCCAACAACACATATTATACTGAGTCCTTGCCAACGTGTACTAGTTTGATCCCAATAATTATAAAAAAGTACGGTATTCAATTCTGTTTTGGTACACGGAGCAGGCGCGACCTTCCGCTCTCCCGGCAGTAGGGATGGGTATTGCAGAGAATTTTTGAATGTATTGCAATATATTGCAAGAAGTATTTTAACCAAAAACCTACGTATATGCTTGATTAAGCTTAAATGAAAACCTTTAATCGTCCCGCCTGAGAATTCCACTTTACCATTGCAAGTTTTACATACCGCTTTACTCTTATCAATAGTTCCATCTACCGTGAACTAGTTCAACCTAAAATACTGCCATACTGAAGCTTTGCCCTAGTACTTGGCACCATAATAGATTGTTCGTTGTTGGGGGTCGCCAATTTACAACAAACGTATGACTTCCGGTGTGAAAAACGGAGATATCCGAAAATTTCCGAAGGTACTAATGTTCCGAATGCACGTCAAAATACCGATTTTCGATCAGCGTATCGCAATACGTATCGTTTTCATGTCTGAACCGGTAAATACCGGTAAACCGGTTATATTGGGCAGCCCTACCCGGCACACGTCCTGCCCACTAGGCCACGGGCGACTTTCTCTGTAAACTGTTGTTGTCGTTGCTTGTAGTGGACATTTCATCGATTAACAACACACCCCGTCTGTATGACGGCCTGTATATAATCAAATCTGACTGAAATGACTTGAATATTTTACGTGCGCTTGCCGACATGAAGTGTATTTCGCACAAGCCGGAGTCAAATATGGTTCAAGTGGTTGATGATATGAATCCCTCACTTCGCCGTCGGGATAGGATGACAGGCCTTCAATCAAGTCACCGAGTTTGACCATCACATAAGTACTTCTCCACTTACAACTACAACAGGTTGCAAAGGATCTCTTTTACCCTGAATCCTGACGGAATGATCCAACATTAAAAAGAGAATACGAATGAAAACAAAACTTTAGATATATTGTAAAGGATATTCTAAAAGTCACCTTCCGTGATTAAAATTGACCAAAAAGTTTGTAAAATAGCAATAAAAACACAAAAAACGTACTCGTATTGCCGCCTATTACGGAAACACCCGACAGTTAATGAGCAGTTAATGATCACGTGACATAACGTCATATGTGCCTGTTGCTAATGGCTGCCTCTTTGATTTTACCTCACAACTTAACAGTGTCCATGGATTCAGAAACAGTAAAAGATGTTCCTGATGTCATTTTCGCAATGGATGTATCA